AGGACTCCTGAGTGTTGGGGGCACGGCGTCGCAATACATTGCGAGGATCTACCACGAGAGAGCGCGATTTCTGCATACATTGTAAGGAACTCCCGCGCGAGATTCGGGAACCGTTGTTGCTGTAATTCGGGGGGCAGCACCCAATCTGAGCCGCAGGATTTGCCATTGTATCAAGCAGGGTGCGGGCCCTGGGAGGAGCATTTTTATTGAACAACAATGGGCACCAAGGGGGGGAACAAAAAGAATGTGTTAGACATGATAACTCAACCACAAACCACATGTGTATAATATGGTTGTTGTTTCCACGCTTCCCGCGCAAAACGTCCTGGGCAAATGCGTGAACCTCTCGAAAAAAACAACAGCAAACACAACTGTGTATAGTACGGCTTCGTGGTATCCTGTCAGACAAGCACACACACCAAACCATGTGTATGATATGGCTTAGTGGCCACGCTCCTCCCGCAAGCGATCCTGGCGAAGTAGGAGGACGAGGGACAGAGAGATCGAGGGAGAGAGACGGAGACAGAACAGAGAGACAAAACAAGAGAAAGCGCGAGGGAAAGCGGGACAGAGAGGACAACGGAGGAGAAGGGTAGTGCTCATTCGCCATCGTCGCTCACATCGTCCCTGTAACCATCGTCGTCATTGTTCTCGCCCCCGTCCTTCACTCCCCCCCAGTTCCTCAATATCGTCATCATCCGCCTCCCCCTCGTCTTCCTCCTCCTCTTCCTTTTGCTCCTCGTTCTCCCCCCGAACTCCTTCCCCATCATACTTCTGACCATCCCCGTCGGCTTGCCCCTCGCCGCAACATGTGACATGGGACCTGCATTGGACGCAGTCGTAACCGATGTAGAGGACCCTGTACTTCTGGCTGTGCTAGGACCCGCAGAATTAGCTGTATAAACAACTGTACAGAAGTATGCACAAGTCGCGTTGTAAAAAAGATGTTAGGAGGGCTGTGCTACTAGCCTTCGCATGGGCTGCGGCACGCCCTCTTTTATGACCTGTTGTAAGGTGGCAGTAGTGATGGGAACTGCGTTGCCGTTTGTAGTCGGGTTGCCGAAGCACCCATCGTACTGTTTTCACTCCTCGCCTCGGAGGCCCAAAGGGTTCAAACATGAGGAGGCTGATGTTCCGCTTGCACGGGGCGACTTGGATCCAGACTTATTAAGAAAACCTGCAACGCGCCAGCCCTGACAGCCCTGTTCCCTCAGACGTCTCAGGAGGCGGAGCGCTGCGCCTACCCTGCCACCGCCCAATGCCTGGCAAGCCCCACGATGGGCTATGCGGATGGTCCTGGGGTCGTTGGGGCCTATGGTCGTTCCTCAGAAGGTTCGTCTCTCGCACGAGAACAAACAGTCAGGCAATGCGGTCTTCTCCCCCTCTCCCCACTGGAGAGAAGTCCGCAACGTTAACGCGCACGTGGCCGGTTCAAATGACGCAGCTGATAGAGCTGCCAAGACAAGGCTGCCTTCTCCACCCGCAGCCAAGTGGAGAAACAATAGCCCACATAGACCGTATGGCTCGCACCGCTGAAGCTGTGTGCCGAGTTGCTGCTTCTGTGCTCCCCAGCCGGCAAGGAGCTGGGTGTAAGAGATGTACCGCGTACCACTCCCAACCCCCCTCCTCGTCCTCCTCAGTACCCGTTCGAGCATCAGTGGGAATGGTATACCGTGGTGTTTGGCGATGTCTCTGCTGACGTCGTTTTCGCCGTTCGGAGTCGCGCCCTCCGCCTGGTGGATGTCGTGGGGAGCCGTTCCCGCCGTGCGAGACGTGCCGAATGTGAGCCATCGGCTTCTTGCCCTGCACCGCTCTGACAGTTCGCCGCTCTTCGCCTGCCTCAGGTGCAAAGCACATACCTGCCTTAGGGAGAGGTGTATCCTCTCAGTCGTGCGTGTGTCGTCCCCGCTGACCTGGACGTGATGATGTGGATCGCTGGCGGTTGGTGAAGCGTGGCTTCCACCCTAAGCTCAAAGGGGGATTCGTGTCGAGGCCATGCCCCGAGAGATAGAAGAGTGCGCATCACCTTTTGTCTCACCTTTCCCCTCAGTTCACAGCTGCTGGGCGGTGGCAAATGGAAAACATCCTCCTACTCCGCCATCCCACCGCTCCCGCTCTGCTCATCATCGATCATCTGAGGATGTCTTGTGGGAGATTTCTGGGGTCCTCTTGGAGGCGTCTTGAAAGCTTCCCTGGTGCCTCTTGGGGGCGCACTCGGGGCTTTGGGGGTCTCCTCGGGGCCTCTTGGGGCTTTCGCGGATGTCTTGGGGGCCTCCTGGGGGGGGCCTCGTAGGGCCCTCTTGGGAGTCTCGTGGGCGCATCCTGGGGGGCTCGTCGAAGCCTCACGGGAGCCCCCTTGGGGCCTCGCGGGTGCCGCTTCGGGTGTCCTGGTGGCCTACCCCGGGCCGCTTGGGGCGCCTCCTGGGGCCATCTCGGGGCCCCGGGGGGGGGGCCATGCGGCAGCCTCGGAGTCGCATCGGAGGCGAGAAGGCGAGAAGGCGAGCAGGCAACAAACCCTGATTTCCTTGGCTACTTTGCTGAGTTTGGCCTCTCGAGTGCGTCCTTGGAGCCCGCTGCGGCAGTGTCCTTGGGCCGGCGGGAGGCCGTCGCGGGTCGTCGTGGAGCGCTCGTTCGGGCCGTCCCGGAGGCGCCCTCGGGGCTTCCAGAGGGGAGGGCTCCAGGAGGGCAGCCCTGGGGGGGTCTCCTGGAGGCCTGGGAGGGCGGTGCCGGGGGCTTGCCGCAGGTGTTCCCGGGGTGCGGGTCGGAGCCCATGGGGAGGGGGGGGGGCGTGCTTGCTTCTAGATTCTAGATCTCTCTCTCTCTCTCTCTTGTTTCTCTCACTCTCTCTCTTTCTCTTTCTCTCTCTCTCTCTCTCTCTCTCTCAATATAATATATTTATATATATATATATGCATACATGCACAGATATGTACATGCATGTCGCTCCCCCTCTATCTCTGCCTCTGTCAGGCCCGTGCTTCCATCTCTTCGCTCGCACCTACATCGTTATCTATCCCTCTCTGCCTCTCGCCGACCTACTCCTCCAAATCCCATCCAAGATGAATCTTGACGTAGGCAAGCGATTGAAGCAGAGTGGGATCTGGGAGTGCAGAAATACCTACTCTCAGCGGACGGCCTGCGCACATCCCTAATGCCCGACGTCAGTCGAGCACGACTCTGACGATTACCGACGCTGGTGGGCCCCAGTTGCATACAGCAGATTACGGCATGCCACCCTGTCCCCCCCCACCTTCGTATGGGGCCTCTCCCAGATGGTGTCCAACTGGATGGAGTCGGAGGACCGCGCCGCATAACCAATGCACCAGTGCATTGCTCATGCATCGCCGATGTCGGCGATGTTCTGGCGACGTCGGCACGGAGAAAATTTGACTCCACGCTGGTGGGCGTTTTTTATTCGGCATTTTGACACTGGGCGGAAGGTGGGGGGGAGGGGGGGGGGTCTGTCTGGCTCTGGATCTCTGCATACTGCGACTGTTTGCAACAGGGCGTTCACTATGGTAGGGACCCCGCCTGCTCAAAACAGGCGCCAAAAACAGTTGTTGATCCGCGGGGCGAGAGCGAACCTCTTCCGCTGGAAGCTAAGCGGGCCGCGCACAGCTTCAATTAACAGAGGAACAGGCGCCAAAAACAGCCAAGGTCAACTCCAGAGAAAAGGGGGTGGGGGGGGAGGTGCGAGGGCCAGCGCCGATCGGCAAAACCATGAATCAGAACACGATCACCTGGTGCATCGTAGGGGGCCACGTGCGAACCCTACCCCTGCCCCCCACGATTTCTGAGGCGGAGGGTGGGATTCACTCCGCTCGGGAGCTCCCGAAGGTAGTGAACCCCACTCTCCCCCTCAGAAATCATGGGGGGTAGGGGTAGGGTTCGCATGTGGCCCCCTGCATCGGCGATGCGGCGCGATCCTCCGACCCCATCTGGTCGGACACTACCTGTGGGACGCCTGGGCTGGTTGACCGCCGAGCCCCGCCATGTTCCTCCTCTTTGTGAGCGAGGACAGGCCGTCCTGGCATTCCTACTGGCCTACCACTACGCGATCTCTAGGACAGAGAATGTCTTATCGCACAGCAGCGTCCTACAAACCTCGTCAAGCATATCCAGAAACGGAAGTTCAAATCCTGGAGCACTATGCTTTCGGGCACTTGTCAGAAAGCGCGTTCTTCAATGCTGAGAGGGTGGGGACGGTTTCTGGACAACATCGCGTCCGAGTCAACGGGCATCCGTCAGCATTGGAGTAGCGCTGACCCCACAATCACCGAATTCAGAAGTCTTCTGTTTATTTTTGACGAGACTTGTAGTAACAAGAACACTGCTCTGATAGCGTAGGAACCGACTGATGAAGCCAGACGTGCTCTCAGAACAGCCCACGCAGACCACGGAACAAATACCTGGAGCAACCTCTGGTGGGCCTGTGACCAAGTCAGGTCGCTGCGCCACTACTTTTAGGCCTGGCATGCCCTCCTACAGGCGAACTTGGGAGGACAAATAAAACATGTCAAGAATTGATCGAACAAGTAAAAATGATCGAAGATCGTCCCCATACTACTTCTTGGCGAGTTTGGAATTTTCTTCCTGTAGAAGGACATGCCCGACTTAGTGCCTGACCCCTGGAGGCCAGCGGGGCGCCACCGACCAGGCCCCGACCCCAAGAGGCCGCGGAAGAAGAGGAGGCAGAGAAGGAGGAGGGGGAATGAGGAGGAGGAGGAGGATGAGGAGGAGGAGGAGGAAAAGGAGGAGGAGGAGGAGGAGGAAAAGGAGGAGGAGGAAGGGAGGAGGAGGAGGAATGGAAGAGGAGGAGGAAGGGAGGAGGAGGAAGGGAGGAAAGGAGGACGGGACGAGGAGGAGGGAGGGAGGAGGAGGAGGAAAGGAGGAAGAGAGGAGGAGGAGGAGGAGGAGGAGGAGGAGGAGGAGGAGGAGGAGGAGGAGGAGGGGAGGAGGAGGGGAGGAGGAGGAGGAGGAGGAAACTGGCGGCCGCGCGCCTGCAGGATGGGCCCGGGCAGGCCCTGCTCCACCAGCTGGGCGGGGCAGCGCTGCACCAGGGAGGTCAGGACCTGCCCCGCCCACCACGGCTGCGTCGACGGCGATGTTGCTGAACCGACCACGGGCGATAAAGGACCCCCTGGGATAATAGAGTTCGCGGTTTCTTGCGGGGTCGGGGATCTCCTGACCCGGGTCAATCCAGACCCGGGTCAGCGGGAAACCAAAAACTGCAATGCAAGGACAAAAAAAATGCAACGCAGATCTTCGCAAACCCAGGTGAGCCAATATGCGCGGCCGTCTCGCGGCCACGAGCGGCTCGCTAACCCGGGTCAGCCAGAGGGGGTCTTCACAGGATCCTGCAGGATCTGGCGCCCTGGCTGACCCCCGTTTGCATTGACCCCCGTCTCAAGGCTCCCGATAGGGATAATACAAGAGTTCCCCGGGGAGGGTAAGTTATGATGATGATGATGATGATGACGATGCTGCTGATGACGATGATGATGATGCTGATGATGATGGTGATGATGACGATGACGATGATGATGATGATGATGATGATGATGACGATGATGGTAATGGTGGTGGTGATGGTGATGCGATGATGATGATGATGACGATGATGATGCTGCTGATGATGAAGATGATGATGATGCTGATGATGATGATGATGATGATGATGATGATGGTGATGGTGACGGTGATGGTGATGATGATGATGATGCTGATGATGATGATGATGGTGACGATGATGACGACGATGATGGTGATGACGGCACAAGACTCACTCGAGAGATATGGAGGCTCGTGACTAACCAGGCGCGCGACACAAGGCTCGTTAACGGTGATGCTGGGAGCCAAACTGTAGGACATCACGAGCCACACTTTCCTACAAATCATATGGGAGAATGCACCGAACGAAAACGGCACAGTGACTTGTAGGAACGCACGAGCCCCGCCCAGCGCCGTCGGTCGATCGAAGATCTGGGGGAGCAACGCTCGGGTGCTCTAGAGAAGTGCCCCTGGCCCAAGGAGCCCCCAGGATTCTCGGGGTGGCCCAGACGGCCTCCAGAGCACCCCTCACGAGGCCAAAGGGGGGCCCGAGGGGCTCCATCATGGAGCGACAAGCTGGGGGGCACAGTGGGCCCAGGGCACTTCTGGCAACACCCGAAACGCTGCATCAGTGACACCCATCAAGACGGAGCCAGGACAGGGACTAAATATTTTTGATCCGCGGGTCGAGAGCGAGCCTCTTCTGGTCGAAGCTAAGCGGGCCGCGCACAGCTTTAATTGACAGAGGGGGGAAGGCAGCCTCACGTCAAGGCCAAGAGAGGGCAAAGCCCCGGAATCAGGCGGTGCCGAAGACGAAGTGCTTGCAAAGGAACGCCTTGTACAGGAACCCGGTGGCGAATTAGACAGGGACTAAATAAACATTGGACAGGACAAATCGGAAACCTCTGAGGTCCGGCGGCTTGGAGGGACGCATCGGGCGCCGCGGCCTTCTCAGAGCGCTGCTCGGGCACGTGGGCTCTGAGAACGTTCGGGAGAACGCGCTGGAACGGATCGATCCTTGTCCTCATCCCGCCCGGCTTAGGGAGAGGGAAAACGCTCTGACCCAGGCGGCGAAGCGCGAGCGCACTTGTCGTCGCGCCACTGCGGGTGACCTGGGACCCAGGAGCTCCGTCACAGCTGCTGGCCAGGGCGGGGACGAGGAAGAGTAAGAGCACGAAGGCGTTTCTTTATGTTCGGCGATGACGGGCGTCATGGGGGGGGGGGGCCGGGGGGGTATGACGTGACGCCCCCCCCCCCCCCGCCGTGTGGCTCCGGCACCACAGCCGTGCCCGCGGGCACGACGCGACGAGCGACGAGCGACGAGCGACGACGACGACGCGAGCAGCATGTAAGTGGCGATCTGCCCATTGCGCCTGTGTGCGCCACAACGCTCGCGTGCACCACACCGCGCGCGTGCACCACAGCGCCTGCGTACACCGCAACAGCCGTGTGCAACGCACCGCCCGCGTATACCACAATACTTGGGAACACTACAGCGCCCGTGTACATACACCGCAGCAGCCATGTGCAACACAACGCCTGTGTACACCACAGTGCTGGCGTGCACCGCAGCGCCTGTGCACGCCACAGCGCCTGTCTGCACCACAGCATCCGCGTGCAACGCAGCGCTGGTGTACACCACAGCGCCTGCGTGCATAGGACAGGTAGAAGGAGCATGTACGTCAGGATCTGATGCGGACAACTAAACGCCACGCCAGGAAAGTTCTGATAATCGAATGCGGCGTCCTTCCATCCTCCCTCCTCCTCCTCCTCCTCCTCCTCCTCCTCCTCCTCCTCGTCCTCCTTTTCCTCCTTCTTACCCCCTGTCGTGCGGCTTGGCGTTACAACGCACGTGCGCATCTCAGCGTGCACCGCAGAATGGTCGATTGAATCGGTCCACTTGGTTCTCGGACGGCCAGTTTAGCTGGAGCCTCCTGGACGCATGTGGGAGTCAGGGTGATGCGGGCGGACTCGGGGGACTCGTAGATTCCAGCGGCGCTCCTTTGTCCATGAGGATTTGTTTTACACTGTTTTCTCTGGAATCCACACGCGCTGCATTTTGTGACAAAGATTCTTTCTGAAATTCTATACACAACAATGGTGCTGTGTTGCACACGGCTGATGTGGTGCACACAGGCGCTGTGGTGTACACCGGCACTGCAATGCACGCAGGCATTGTGGTGTACACTGGTGCTGTGTTGCGCACGGCTGATGTGGTGTACGGAGGCGCTGTGGTGTACACAGGAGCTGGTGTGCCCGCAGGCACGGCGGCACAAACTGACGCTGTGTTGCACGCGGCTGCTGTGGTGTACATCGGCGGCGTGGTGTACACAGGCGCTGTGGTGCACGCGGGCACTGTGATGTACACAGGCGTTGTGGTGCATATCGCCACCTACATGTTCGTGCTACCCGTCCTCCGTAATTCCTAACGATTCCCAAACGCCGCCGGCGCGAAACGTGACGTCATCGACCCCCTCCCCCCCCAGATGATTGCCGTCATCGGTCCGGAGTTAAAAACAGGCTCCAGCCGCGTCCGCGCGCACGAGCGACGACGACGAACGACGAACGACGACGACGACGACGACGACGACGACGACGACGACGACGACGACGCCTGCGGACCAGACACCTATGCGGATTCCTACGCGGACACCTACGCGGATCCCAATGCGCACGGCGGCAGTGCCCGGAGCGCACTGGGGGGGGGAGCGTTACGTCATAGGGGGGGGGGGGAGCGGGGGCCATGACGCCCGTCATGCCCCAAGCAATAAAGAAATGGCCTCCACCAAGCCTGAACAAAGCGAAGGGAGACAACAGAGGAGAAAACTGAGACTCTCTCTCCGTGGAAAGACAGCGTACGTGCCTTACTTGCTAAACCGTCGCTGCAGATGCCGGTTGCTGAATTCCATCTCCTGGCTGCGATGAGATCGCATGGTCACGCAGCTCCAACGGTCGGAGATCCGTAACGCCTGCCAGACAGGAAATGCACATTCTCGAGGCACGGCTCTGGGCATCGCTCGGACGTCCATTCCCTGGGCTTTTTGCGGTTTCGTGCGTGGCTTCTTCGCCAAATGATCAAGGATGATCAAAGGTCCTCGCCGAAGGACAAATGCACACGTCGCAGCGATGCCAAGGGCTCTGCCGACCCACGGAGAGGGTGCCATTCTCGCGAGCCGTGCAGTGGCCGGAGTGGGTTTGGGCCTGGGCGTCACGGGGAGACGCGAGTTCCCCGATCCGCCGCTCCAGTGAGGAGGAGGAGGAGGAGGAGGAGGAGGAGGAGGAGGAGGAGGGTGCCAGGGGGAACAGGATGAGGAGACTCCTTGCGGGCCTGCGCTCAGAGGGCGGCAGGGAGGCGCAAGCCAGTCTGGGAGTTGATAAAGGGGCCCCCTCGGCTGCCCAAGCCGCAGCTACAGCAGCGGGGCGCGGTCTGTCCCGTCCTGTCCCGTGCTGTCCTGGGGCTGGTGGATGCCATGACCGGTGGCAGCAAGAGTCGCCAGCAAAGGATCGGCTCGTAGATTATTTGGCTGTGCCGGCAAGCTGTCGACCCAACTGGCCAACCGAGGATCCACCGAGCACGGGCCTCTGTCGCGGCCTCGAGTCTGCCGCGCACACGCTCATCGGGTATGTTTCGGCATCTTGGACAGCTATGGCATGGGCACCCGAGACTCGAAGCCTCGCAGCCACACTCTGGGAGTGGTGATTTACCTGACCTTCTTTGGGGTTCCAAGAACTATTCGTTGGTAGGACTATAGGAATGCCAGGACGGTCGGTCCCTGCTCAAGTCACGCCTGCGCGCGAAGTTGGGTGGACCCAGGGATCGGTCGGGCCTGTCCCCCTACAGGGGGATTCTGGACAAACAGAAAAAAATCCACCATGAACTTCCACCGGATCCACAAGGACACCCGGGGCCACCGCGCGGCCGAGGTCACCCGAGGGAGTCCAAGGCATGAGCGCGGGGAGGTGCGTCCACGCCTCCGGGCCGACAGCAGGTCACCGGGCGCAACCGCAGGACACGACTGGCACGTGAAATGGTTTTCGGCGGGCCATCCCCAAAACAGCGTGGTCAGAGCCCGCAAGTTATTGGAAGACCATACAGTGCTCCGCGCGGAGCCCTGTCCGAAGAGCTGGAGTCCAATACTGAGCAAGAAGAGGGGGCAAGGAGAAGAAGGAGCAGGAGCAAGCCTATCAGCAGGAGCATGGAGATGAGGCCGAACCAAATAACAATGCTCATAGGATGCAGATGCACATGACAATAAGAGAGCGGCTGGGCAGAAGGAGACGCATTGAGGAGGAGCAGGAGAGTACCAGGACAAGAGCGAGGAGTAGAATGGATGGGAGTGAAAGTGGGTGAAGGGGGGAGGAGAGGAGAGGGCAAGCCTGGTGTGCTTATGCCATATCTGGCATCCTATCCCTCCCGCCCATCCCTTCCCACTGCGCTGCAATATGTTCTATCCGCCAGCTGGATTGTCCTAGATGGCCAGTGACCCCATCGCGTGATGCGCAATCAGAGAGGGGGGCGTTGTACAATTGACGGAGGAGCAGGAGGAGGAGGTGGCGGATGAGCAGAAAGGAGAGCAGGATGAGGAATGAGGAACAGCAGCAGCAGCAGCAGGAGGACCAGAAGGACCAGTAGGACCTGGTGGCCAAGGGAAGGCAGCGGGGGGAAGGAGGGGGACGGAAACGACGAGGAGCAACTCTGATCTAGAAATGTAGCCCGCGCTGGGGGAGAGCGCGGAGTATCCTGAAATGGGTGATCCTGGAATGCGGGCAAGGCTGCAGCGGGAGTCTCACTTTTGAAGGGCCGAGGACGTTCGGATTCGAACAGAAGCATGCGGACATCCAACTCGCGACAACCATGCTTCCAAACATGACCCACAGCGTTAGGGGAAAGAGAGAGGAGAGCGTCAGGAGAGAGAGAGAGAGAGGGAGAGGGAGAGAGCGAGAGTAGCTCCCAGAGTGCGCAACTGCAAGGGCGGATGATGGGAGGCGGGGAGGGTGGGGGAAGGGGGATTCCTCCCTTTTCCTCCTCTTCCTTCTCTTCTCCTTCCTTCTGAAGTCTACAGGCGTCCCTCGGAGCCTGCAGACGTCACCTGCTACGTCCCCTGAGGCCTCCAGAAGCCTCAGGTGGCCAAAGCACGCCAAAAGACACTTAGGTTTCGGTCGGGCATGTCCTGCGGCAGGTAGATGTTGTACGAAAACACATGAGAAGTAGCCCGAAAAGATTCAAGCATAGTTGAAACAAGTGGTGGACAAAATCGTCCCCCGACTACATCGTTACTGTTTTTGGGTATTCCTCCTGCAGAGGAAGATGACCGACTCAACCCTGGGTCCACCCAACTTCGCGCGCAGGCTAAAGTCGGGCCTGTCCCTCTACAGGGGTTATATTCAAAAATAGTAAACAAAAATAGTCTGGGGACTAATTTTTGAGTATTGTTGGTCATCTTTTGCATATTTGTTGGATATATATATATATATATATATATATATATTGTGTTTCGTCCAAAATCCCCCTGTAGGGGGACAGGCCCGACCTAACCCTGGGTCCAACCCAATTTCGCGCGCAAGCGTGACTTGAGCAGGAACCGACCGTCCCGGCATTCCTATAGTCCTACCACGAACAGTTCTTGAAACTCCAAAGAATGCCTAAAAACAACAACAAGGTTCTTAGAACCTGAACCCGATGTGACAAAACAAGACGGGCTCCGCCACGAAATGTTCTGAGAACATCTCGTGGACACCACACAAGAGGTTCTCAGAGCACCGTTTGGTACGGCAGGTTCGTGTCGTGCCGACTCCAGCGTTGGTTTTTGACACCGCAGGGATCGTTCAACCTTGAACGATCGGCGGCTGCCGCAACGTCCAATCGTTCAACATCGATCGATTCTGGGTCGCCGGCGGCGTTCAACCTTGAACGCCCGCGCTGGGGTCGCGACGAGTCGACACGACGCAGACCTACCGTAGAGCACTGTTTGGTAGGGCGAGCCAGGACGCTTCGCCACTGCTTCAGCGACGCGCGGCTGCTCTCCGCGCCCTCGCGCCCGCCCCCCTCGGAGAGGAGGGCGCGACCGCTCTCCGGCCCACACCGCGACGCGCCGGGCGCCCTCGCCTTCGCGCCCCCGCGGGTGACCTCGGGGTCAGGTCGGGCCTGCCCCCCCACAGGGAGATTTCGGACGAAACATAAAACATATCCGAACAATATGTTTAAAAATCATCAAATAAATATTCAAAACATTTTAAAAATGAAAACAGACTCCAACATATTCAAAATACTGAAAGATATTCCAAATGCCCCTAACTACTCAAACAGAAAAAGTCCCCATGCTATCGTTTTACTATGTTTCAATTTTCCCCCCTGTAGAGGGACAGGCCCGACTTAACCTTCGAGACTCGATCCTCGACCCCCCCCTGATGGTATGGTGGGGAGGGGGAACGATAAGGGGGGACCGGCTCGGGGGGGAAGCATCGCGAGCCAACATCGGCGATGCATCGCCGATTGATTGGGGATGGGCACCTGCGAAATCCGCCCGCTCCTCGGCAGAGCGGTCTACTCGGGCCCCTGTGAAAACCGCCTCCCGCCCCCCCCACATGAGGAATTTTAGACCAACTAGGCCGCGCGCGCTGGGCCCCTCCCCTGCGGCAGCTGGCGACGGTCTTCCTCACAGGGCGCCTACACCTACGCACGCTCGCCATAATTGGAAGAAGGAGGAACCACGTAAACATAAATTTTTGGCGCTCCACGAGGATTTCCTGGATCCGCGCCGGACCCCCTTCCTGGCGCGCGGAGCGCGCCAGGAGCGGCGCCGCCGGGGGGCCCAGGCGCGGATCCAAGAAATCCGCGCGGAGCGCCAAAAGTTTATGTTTATGTGATTTCTTCTTCTTCTTCGAGAAATGAGTACCGTTTAACCGATCCCCATCGCCAGCGGCGTGGCCTGGGTTCCACTGGCCGATTTACCCCCTAGATGTGGATATGGGAGGTTCCCTTCGGGTTTCGAGGGGTGTATCCCCAACTGGGGGGGTAAGTTGGTGGGGGTCTCGAAGGGGATGGGGATGGGGATGGAGATCGGTTTCCATTGTTGTGGGGGCTGGGGTCGGTTTCCCACTGCTCATGTCCAGACGAGCGCGTTCCACTGCTCGCAGAGTGCCTACCCGCAGGCGTCCGAAGCACAATTGTCTGCTTCGGTGCAGCGTATCGCAGATCCCCCGCGGGGGATCCAGGCCATTCGGCGGTGGACAAACCTCCCTTTAGTAAACCTCCCCTTAGTGAAAACGGCCTGGGACCGAAACCGACAGACCTGGACCCGCAAAAATGACGGCCGCCACGCCCTCTCGCGCACCGAAAACAGCCAATTCCCTAATCGACGCGTCAGGGTAGGAGGTCTGTCCACCCCCGAGCCATCTGCGAGCAGCTGCTCTGCGAGCAGTGGAGCGCGCTCGTCGACTGTGAAGGGGCCCACAAACACACAAAAAATACACACAAATACAAAGATTCCCCCATATCTTCCCATATCTTCTGGGTCTCTGTCTCCCCCACTCTTCCCATAGTTTCCCATATTCTCTGGGAATCGACGCATCATTGTGTCTGTGTGTTTTTGTTTCCCTCCTGAGAACGTCGGCGATCCATGGGCGATCTTCGGGGCTTCTGTCTCCCCCCCACTTCCCATATTTTCCCCTATTTTCTGGGAAATCGACGAATCATTGTGTCTGTGTGTACTTTTCCCTGCCGAGAACGTCGGCGATCCGTGGGCGACTGGGGCGCGTGGTCTGTCCACCCCCGAGCCATCTGCGAGCAGCTGCCCTGCGAGCAGTGGAGCGCGCTCGTCCAACGGCGGCGATCCGTGGGCGAATACACACAAATTCCCCCATATCTTCCCATATCTTCTGGGCCTCTGTCTCCCCCCCCTCTTCCCACAGTTTCCCATACTCTCGGGGAATCGACGCATCATTGTCTCTGTGTGTTTTTTCCATCGGCGACTGGGGCGCGTTGGAGGCCCCATTTCCCACCACCACTACCATAGGTAGGAGAAGGCGAGGGAGGAGGAGAAGGAGAGGGAGGAGGAGGAGGAGGAGGAGGAGGAGGAGGAGGAGGAGGAGGAGGAGGAGGACGGTCCTACCTATGGCAGTGGTGGTGGAAAACGGGCCCATCGGCGCGTGGCCCCCGGGCCCGCCTGGGCCCCCCGCGGCCGGGCGGGACGCTCTGCCGTGGGCACTCCCAACGCCGCCCTCGGCGAGGCGCGGCTGCCCGGGGCGGCGGCCTCCCGCGGCTGGCCCTCGGCCGCCGAGCGCAGAGGACCACGCCCGAGAGCCTCGGGCCTCCCAGGGGCGACGACGACGACGCCGAAGACAACGACGACGCCGATCCTGACCTTCCAGGAGGGCTAGAAAATAGCACCCGAGCTAAAAAACGATCCCAGAGCTGTTCTACGTCTTGGTTTTAGGCAGTTTCGCTAAGTTTTTTAGGTTTTTGGGTCTCCAGTGCTAAAAAATAGCTCTCTGGAAGGTCAGGGGAGGGCGGGGCGGGGCGGCGACGACGACGACGACGACGACGACGACGACGACGACGACGAGGAGCCCGAATCTGGAAGAAGCAAAAACACGGCGTAGAGATCAGCTGTTGGCGCTCCGCGCGGACTTCTGGGGCCTGGGCCGGACCCCCCCGGGGGGGAGTCGGATCGGCGGTCGCGCTGAGTCGGATCGGCAGGAATCGGCAGCCAAGTCGGGAGAAGTCGAATCGGCGGACATCGGCAGGCAAGAAGGGCGTCCATCGAGAAACCGGAATCAACTCCACCTCGGAACCCGAAGTCGAATCAAATCGGAATCGGGATCGATCGAAAACGAATCGCATCGAGCCGGAGGAATCGAAACGAACCCTGAAGTAGAATAAGAAAAAACGCCACTAACATAAACTTTTGGTGGTCCGCGCGGATTTCTTGGATCTGCGCTGGAACCCCCTCCCTGGCGCGCGGAGTGCGCCAAGGGGGGCGCCGGAGGCGCCGCCTGGGGGGCCCAGCGCGGATCCAAGAAATCCGCGCGGAGCGTTAAACGTTTATGTTTATGTCATTTGTGTTGTCTTATGATTAATATCTTGTTAGTACTATGCTTATTATTAGTAGTTAAAGCTTCATGTTTACTATTATTAATCGTATTCTCATTGTTATTATTATTATTGTTCTTGAGATTCGTTTTATTGTGTCTTATTATTCTTCTTATTATTCTTCTTCTTCTTCTGCCTCTTCGAGGGGGGGGGCGGCGCAGACGCCGATAGGGGCGCCTCGCAGGCGTTGTGGAGCAGCGCGCTCTCGTCGGCCTGCACGCCGGGGCCGCCCCGCCCCCCCCCCCCCCCCCTGTCCCCCAGAGAGAGCACATGCCCTGAGGGGCCCAAACACATACACCACCACCACCTCCCTCCCCCCACTAGGGGACCACATGCGAGCCCTACCCCCACCTCCCACGATTTCTGAGGGTGAGGGTGGGGTTCACTTCGCTCGGGAGCTCCCTAACGAAGTGAACCCCACCCTCCCCCTAAGAAATCGTGGGGGGTATGGGTAGGGTTCGCATGTGGTCCCCTAACCCTCCCTCTCGCTGGACAGAGGAGAGAGGAGGAATCGGCGTGGTGGTGGTGTATATTCTTTGGGCCCCCATGCCCCAGAGAGCTGTGCTCAGGTCGGGCGTGTCTCCCTACAGGCGGATTTTGTATGGAAAAGAAAACGTAGCAAAAAAACACCAACAAAAATGCTCAAACATGCTCAATAAATTGTCCCCAGACTATCTTTTGACTACTTTTGAATCGTCCCCCTGTAGAGGGACACGCCCGACTTACTGCTATGCGGGGAGGGCAGCAGGTCGAGCCCAGAGATCCACCATCGTTTTGAAAAAATCAAGGCGGAGGTTTGTCTCAATCTTCGGCCTCTATAGGGGCCCCGCTGCACCGAGGACCGCCAAAAAACGACTCGGTATGAAAGCCCCGTCCTGGGGAAGGGGTCGAGACTTCCTGGGACCGCGTTTTGAACAAAAAAACGACGTCGGATCTCTGGGAGACTCGTGCACTTGTTCCTAGCTTCATGGCCTGATGATCGGTGCACGGACGGCCTAGCCGCTTCCGGCTCTCGCCAGAAAGACCGAGCCAGGGCACTAGTGCCACGGTGCTGCATGCCTCTTCGAATTGCAACCCCCTGGTGCGGGCGCCGACGCTCCCCAGGGCACAGTCTTCCTGTGCTTGCCTGGAGGGCTCTGGCTGTCTACTGCGTAGCTCCCTCACCGAAGGTGCCCGGGGCCCGCGTCCCGCATGTGCCTCAAGCCAAGGAGGAGGAGGAGGAGGAGGAGGAGGAGGAGGAGGAGGAGGAGCGGTCTCGCCGGCTCGCTTCCTGTGCGCCTCGCGCTGGCAGCGCTCCAGCACGGAGGCTTGCCTGGAGCGTAGGAGGGATAAGCAGGAGGCAGGCGGCAGGAGGGAGGCGGCAGGAGGTATGAGGCAGGATGGATGGAGGGAGGGAGGGATGGAGTGAGGAGGAGGAGGAGGAGGAGGAGGAGGAGGAGGAGGAGGGGGAGGAGGAGGGGGAGGAGGAGGAGGAGGAGGAGGAGGAGGAGGAGGAGGAGGAGGAGGAGGAGCAAGACGAAGGAGGAACAATAGAAAAGGCGCTCGAAAAAAAGGCACCTTCCGCTTGCGAGCATGACGATTTTGTGCTGCTCTCGCCGCAAGAGAGGGCTCGCGTGCAGTTCGTCGTGCTGCTGCGGTCACTCTGCCTTCCTGATGCTGCATCTGCCTGCGCTCCTGGTCTTCTACCATCACCTCCCTCCCACTGCTTGTGCCGATCCCCTGCCGCCTACAAAGAAGACCGCGGGACCATCAACACTCAAAGTCGCTTTGCATGCCCCACACTTATCTTATCCTCATGCTGATACCCATGCCAACGATCACCTCCCGAGGGCGCTGGTAGGGACAGAATGCGGCTCGACTTGGACTCAACAAGCCAACATGAAGCATGCACGTTGACGTGAAGCCTGGCTGCTCCCCAAGGAAACCTTCAATCACCACCCGGCCAGATTCTCACGGAACCTGTGCTGCGCTCATCTCGGGGAGACGTAAAGACTCGGGCACGGGGGACTCGGGTCGGCCTGACGGGGCCATCATGAAAATGACGAGACCCAATCTGAAGTTTGACGCGAGCTCCCGCTGCAAACATCCCACGAAAACCGGACCGTCGAAATCCAAGACGCGCTCGTCAACAACAATTCGGCAACCAGTTCTGGCTCACTTGAGTCCTGCGCTTCCCCGATCATCCACGCCGCTTCGTTCGCGCGCCGACCGTCCTTCATAGCCGCCGCAAGCAGAGGAGGCAGCACTTGCAGAACATCCGACCTGGGCGGGCCGGGCAGCCGTGGAGAATCCCTCGTCCGCGAACGTGTTCGATGACTGCTGGCATGACACGCTGGGACCAATAGGGAGCCCACAAAGGACGTACACGCCCAGCTATGTACATGAACACGGCCCCTCGATCCGCGAGAACGGCCGCGTTATACGAACATTTGCGCAATGCGTACTCTCGAAACCAGCGTGGATTCATGTACGTGTACGTCCTTTTGTCGCTCCTGAACCAAAGGGGGGTCGAAGACGGGAAGACAGAATGGCTTCCCCCAGGTCACGGAAGAGCCCGAGCAGAGGAGCAACAAGCTGCACACCACAATGCCCCATGTATGAAGGGGCCCACAAGCACACAAATCAATACACACGAATCAAAAAGATTCCCCATATTTTCCCATAGTTTCTGTTTTTGTTGTCTTCCCCCCCCCAATTCCCATATTTTCCCATATTTTCCTGGGGATCGACGGTTAATTGTGTCTGTGTGTTTCTTCCCCTCCTGAATGTATCCGAGGTCCGCGCGCATCTCTTGGATCGGCGCTGGACCCCCCCTCCCCGGCGGGGGCCCCGGTGCCGATCCGCGCAGTCCGCAACGAGCTGTGAGACGTATATGTGTGGGCAGTGTGTGTTTGGTCCTTCCAGGGAGATGGAGAGGGGCAACCACGATACCCGATGCTCAGACGACGCCTCGGGGGGGCGTGTGCCCCCCCCCCCCCCCCCTGGCGCGCGGGGAAATGTGCTGCTCGACAGCTCGAGGGCGACCCCGAACGCGGACGGTGAGGGCGGAGCGGGGCGGCGAGAGGCAGCAGCACCGATGCCCCGCAGGGAGGCCATGGCCATGGCTCGAAGAGCACCGAGCTCGTGTCCAGAACTGCAGGTCGAGCAGCAGGCCCCGAGGCGGTGGCGGGCGGTAGCTACCCCTCCCCTCCCGATCCCCGCTCCCTTCCCACTGCGCTTCCTGCCACGAGGAAAGGGAGTCATGAGGGAGACGGGCCTCTCATACCTGGAAGCTTACCCAAGGGCGGGCTTATCGTCCGAGCTGTTTCCTGACAGCCCTGGGATCCTGGAAAAAGCTCCGGTCGGATAGGCTGAATACATCGACAAACCGCACGAAGCCTTTCCCCCTGGACCCACATGGTGGAAGCAGGCATCCAGAAGTCCATGCGAGTCTCCAGAAGTTCCCTGAGGCCTCAGATGGTGTCTAGAACCTCCAGAACTGCAAGCAGCAGAGGAACAAACAAAGGCATGAGCACAAACCTTCGGAGCTCCGCGCGGACTTTCCTCGATCTGCGCCGGGAGCGACTGCACGAGTCGCCCTTCGCCGAAGACGCCGAGCCTCGATCCTCGAACCTCGATCCTCCCGCCTCTTCTCCCACCCACTCCTCAACCCTAGGGGAACAAAAAGTGGCATAAACATACAAACTCGGAGGTCCGCGCGGATTTCTCGGATCGGCGCTGGGGCCCCCCGGCGGCGCCTCCGGCGCCGCCCCTTCGCGCGCCGCGCGCCAGGGAGGGGGGTCCAGCGCCGATCCGAGACATCCGCGAGGACCTCCGAGTTTTCATGTTTGTGCCACTTTTTGGTCCCCTAACCCCCCTCGCTTTCCCGCCCTCTCGGCCCCTCTCGAGGAACAAAAAAAACTGGCATGCACAGCACTATTCGGAGGCCCGCGTGGGTTCCTCTTGGATCGGCGCTCAAACCCCCCTTCCTGGCGCGAGGAGCGCGCGAGCGGGCGGCGCCCGAGGCGCCGCCGCGGGGGTCCAGCGCCGGTGCAAAGACATCCGCAGGGAAATGCGAGGGTCCGTCGTGATGCCCCGCGGTTCCCAGCCGTCCTGGGTGCTGGATCCTTGCTGTGAATCCGCAGCGCCACGCATCCCTCACTCCCTCCTCCTCCTCCTCCCGCCTCCCCCCTCATCGCCACAGTGATCGTCATCGTCATCGTCATCGTCATCGTCATCGTCATCGTCATCATCCTCATCGTCATCATCATCATCATCATCATCATCATCATCATCATCATCATCATCATCATCCTCATCATCATAATCATCAGCATCAGCAGCATCATCATCATCGTCGTCATCGTCATCGTCATCGTCATCATTAGCATCAGCATCATCACCATCATCAGCATGATCATCGTCATCATCAGAAGAATCGTCATCATCATCATCATCAGCAGCAGCAGCAGCAGCGGCAGCAACAGCATCCGCATCAGCATCGTCATGCCCGCATCCGCGTCACCACCATCATCACCAGCAGCAACAGCATCAGCATCAGCAGCATCAGCATCAACAGTGTTTTCCTATAAACACCAGCACAATCACCATCATTGTCGTCATCACCATCGCCATCACCATCACCATCATCATCAAGCATCATCAACATCATCATCAGCATCGCCATCATCATCATATGTAAGAACAACCATCATCATCATCATCATCATCATCACCTTCACCCTCATCAATGTCAACGCCGTCGTCGTCGCTGTCGTCATCATCATCGTCATCATACTAATCATCATCCTCATCATCATCAGAAGCATGGCATCAACATGATCATCATCAACAGCCCAGTCGCCATGAGTATCACAGTCATCGTCAACGTTATCATACGAATCATCATCCGCATCAGTTTCATAATCGTCATCATGATCAGTACCAGCAGCAACAGCATCATCGGCATTATCATCCGCATCAACATAAGGATCATCACCAAGATCATACGTATCATCATCATTATCATCATCATCATCATCATCATCATCGTCCGCAGCGTCACCATCATCATTATCATCCTGCTCGTCCTCGTCGTCATCGTCATCAACATCATCATCATAATCATCAACAACAACAACAGCACCACCACCACCACCATCCGCATCATCATCATCATCAACATCAGCAACAACATCATCTTAACCACCATCTTCAAACACATCTGCATTATCATTATGATCACCAGCATCATCATCAGCAACATCATCATCACCATCATCACCATCATCATGAACATCATCATCAGCATCATCGTCATCAGCAACACCATCACCATTACCATCATCACCATCATCAGCCGCATCAACATCAGCATCAGCACCATCACCATCATCAGTCACATTACGACATGCCCCTCTCAAGTTTCGTGGACCAATAGGGAACTCCGCCGAAGGCCCCAATGGCTCAGTTCGCATGCGGTCCCGCCTCTCGGTTCGTCAAGCCCTTCACCGGTTTCGCAACCTGATGGGGAGATCCACCAAAGGCCCCAGTGGCAGAGCTCGCATGCGGTCTCGCCTGTCAATTCGGCACACCCCTTACACGCTTCGTGGCCACGCAAGGAGCTCCAACGAAGGCCCCGGTGGGAGCCGCACCCATTTCGGCACACACCCCTCACACGTTGCATGGCCCCATAGGGCGCTCCACCGAAGGCCCCGGTGGGAGGGTCCGCATGCCACCATCGCACCCAGTTCGGCACACCCCTCACACGTTTCGTGGCCCCACAAAGAGCTCCATCGAAGGTGCCAGTGGCGCATTCCGCATGAGTTCCCGTCTCTCATTCGACGAACCCCTCACGCACGTTTCGTGGCCCCATCACCGAAGGCTCCAGTGGCGGTGACCGCATGAGCCCCCGTCTCTTATTCGGCGCACCCCTCACGCGCTTCGTGGCCCCATAGGGCGCTCCACCGAAGGCCCGGTGGGAGGGCACGCACGCCACCACCGCACCCATTTCGGCACACCCCTCACACGTTTCGTGGCCCCACAGGGAGCTCCACCGAAGGCTCCAATGGCAACGTCCGCACGGCGGCACCGTACCAGTTTCGGGACACCCTTTACACGTTTCGTGGCCCATCTCCTTCGTCTCACCTGCCTCACGATACTCGCGGCTGCATGTGGTTGGATGCCTCGCCTGGAGAGCTGTTTCTGGAAGAAGGGCAACCAATGACCGAAAACCTCTGTCCTCGAGCCTCCATCCTCCACCCCGAAGCCTGAGTGGCAGCTCCGCCCTCTTCAACAGGACGCCGTACAGCTCGATGGCGGACGAAGCCTCCAGGGGGCTGCCGGGCTCGCGGGGGCCCCGGGAAGAAGGCCCGGGCCCAGAGCGCCGCGTTTGTGTTTGCTCGCCGCCAGCGCGGGGGCGCCGCGAAGCGAGCGCAGGCACGGCCGGAGGAGTCGAGGTTCTTGGGAGGCCTGGCGAACATCACGAAGGTTGGGATGCGACTCCTTGGAAGTCTTCGTCAGCACGATTAGAGGCAAGGCTTCTAGGCTCGATTCAGGGGCCACTGAGCCGGATTGGGCCAAATTGAAACCGGGGACTGAGCCTCAGTAGGCGGCACTAAGCCATATTCAACGTGATTTAGCTGAATCAAGAAGGGCCAAACTGGATCAGCTGGGTGTAAGCCGGATTCGGCCAGTTCCCGACCAGGGATATACCAGCGCCGATCCAAAACTCAATCTCCCAGAAGTTGCATCCTAAAGGTTCGAGGCTCGAGGATCCAGTTTTTCTGCAGTGTTCGTCGAGTTTGGGCCTCCAAGGGCCTTCAGGGCTTAGTTGACGAAAAAACGCTGGGGGCGTTTGCTTTGTGTCAGTTCTCGTCTGTCGGTTTTCGGCCAACCAGAACAGGGGAGAAAAACTGTATCCAAAAAACAACACTCGCCTGACGAACGACCCAACCATATGCAGTTGCGAACACCGTTGTTGTGAGTATCGCCTCCGGTGGAGCTCGCTTTGGGGGCACAAAACAAAACGAAACGCGTGAGAGGTGGGCCGAAATGGGTGGGGCTGTCGCTTGCGAACATGGCCACTGGGACCTTCTGTGGAGCTCCGTGTGGCGGACGCATGCGAACATGACCACTGGGGTCTTCGGTGGAGCTCCCTGTAGGGCCACGAAATGTGTGAGGGGGTACTGACATGGGTGGGGCGGACGCATGCAGGCTGCGCCACTGAGACCTTCGAGGAATCTCCCAGTGGGGTGTGCCGAAGTGGGCGCGGCGGGCGCATGCGGGCTGCGACACTAAGACCTTCGGTGGAGCTCCGTATTGGGCTACGAAACGTGTGTGGTTATGAGGCCACGAAGCGTGTGAGGGCTGTACCGACATGGATGCGGGACCCCATGCGGGCTGCGCCACTGGGACCTTCAGTGGAACCCCCTATGGAGCCACGCAGCGTGCGAGGGGTGTGCCGAACTGGTTAACGTGCGGAGGGCAGAGGCAAAGCTTGGAGGAGGGAGGAGGAGGGAAGGGGATAGGAGGAGAAAGGGACGCGGGGCGTTGTCTCTTCAAATCGAGAACCCAAAACGACAACATGTCTGGGAGCACAGCTGCAGTACAACACGGCACCGAACCACAAGCGGCACGACGGAGAACCCCGAAACGGAAAAAAAACCCGGCCCATCAGCAGGACACAAAAAAACACGCAGACCCCGAAAAACGGAAAGCCCTGCCCCCAGCGTCTGTACATCGCCCGAGCTCCAGTGGCTCCCCCGGGGACCTCCAGGGGCGCAGCCTCGGAGCACACCGGGCCCCGCGGCGGGGGTCCAAGAGCGCGCTGCCGGGGCCAGCAGGGCGCGGCCCGCGGCGGTGGGCTCGACCACTGCGTCGGAGGGGTACTCAAGGGCAGCTCGGAGCAGCCGCGTGCGGGGCCCGTGACCTGCCGTGTGTCGCGCACGCGGCGGTCCCCGTCGTCCCTCTTCCTGTCCCCCTCTTGCCCCTCCCTCCCCTCTTCTCCCCTGACCTTCCAGGAGGGCTAAAAAAAAGCACCCGACGTGAAAACCTATCACAAAGCTATTCAACGTCTTGGTTTTAGGCTGTTTCGCTCAGCTCTTTAGGTCTGTAGGCCTCCAATGCTAAAAAATAGCTCTCTGGAAGGTCAGGGCTCCTGTTCCCCTCCTGCCCCTCCCTCTTCTCCCTCAGCCTCCGCCGCCGACCCTGACAAGAGAGGCCGCGCCAGCGAGGAGCACCACACGGCACGCCGGCGCCCGCAAACACGCCACGGCGCTGCGAGCAGGGCGCCACGCACAGCTCGCAACAGGCGCCCGGGAAGACAGGGCAGCGAGCTCCGAAATCTGTAGCGAGCCGTCAGAAGCATACACAGCCGAGCCGTGCCATCAGGACACCGGTAAGGCTGCAGGGGCCTCGGAAGGCCATTTCAGGCTTTTGGAGTGGGGCGCGGCTAGCGAAACTGGCCGAGGATGGGCTGGGGAGGCAAGGATGCAAGGGTACCCTCGGGAAGGGCGCCCATCCTTGTTCTGCGGGTTGACTGTCCTGGCGGTGGACGGGCAGGGGTCCAGGCCGGCGTGGCTGCTCCTCCTCGCCTCCTCTGCCTGCACTTGCGCGGTGAAGCGGCAGGAGGCGGGCTCGGCGCGGCCTTGATGGCCTCCGCGTCCGGAGCCAAATCCTGGGCGCCGAAGCCGATTGCGGGTTCACTCGGGGCGGCGCTCTTCCTGCCTTCTTATGCTGCTCCTCCTCCTCCGATACACAATTCGTCCAGGTCCTCTCTCCCCATTGAACTGTCTGCCATGCTCCTCCTCCTCCTCCTCCTCCTCCTCCTCCTCCTCCTCGTGTTCCTCCTTCGCCCGTCCTGTTTCCATACACCGGGCGCGCATGGGACGAGGAACTACGATGCAGGTGCTGATGGTATTGAACGCGTGTGTCGATGGTATTGACGACCACGACTACGTGTGGTCATCCACCATCCACATCATCTACATATTTTTGGCTAGGTCACCATCACCCACATCATCTGTATTCACTAAGACAATAGATCACGTAACCTTGCCTGCCCAACACAATCTATGATTCGGGTCCCGTTTGCCGCTTCGCCCGAAACGTCCAGTAAATTTTCGCTTCGATGAAGAACCGTGAGCAGAAAGGTTCAACTTGTTGGAACAAGCGATCCGTGTCGTGGGTCGTGTTGGGCGTACTGACAGCAGCACACTCTCACGCGAAACAGCAGGAGGTATTTGCTCGTCGTGTGCAGTCGTGTCAGCTTCGCAAATCACGAACAATCAGTCCCTCTCTCCAAATCCAGGGTGCAAGATTACGAATACTGCGGATGCAGGGCGTGGCCCCCAAGGTCGCCGAAGCGAGGCTCGACCGTAAGACAAGGCGTCACGATGCTCGGGGTCCCACGCGCTGATTACTGCTCGCGCTGCGCTTGTATGTCAGTTCCTCCACAAGTTGATGGCAGAATGTCTAAAAGAAGCGGTACGCTTATGCGTGCGACCCATGAGTTGCAACTCCATAGCTGGAGATATGACACGCCTGATCTTTGTAGTCGGCAACAGTGTTCATGGTAGCCAACAGCGCCATGTGACCACATGGGAGGCAACGATCCGCGATGTGTCGAGGTGGCACATGGAGACTGGAGGTCCAATGGAGTTGCGTTCGGTGTCCCAGATTCAAAGAGTCAGGGACAATATTGGACAGAGGCAATGATACATGCATAATATGTGACCGACCTGATGTGCAGCGCAATCTGTCCAACCAGATGTCGAACATTTACCTCACTACATGTGCTGCGCAGATCTGGCTTCGTGAAAAAAATGGGTGAGTTCCGATGGCGTCCCAACGAATCCCAGGTAACGCGCTATGCACGAGCGCGCACTCACCACAGTGTAGCCGAAGGCGCCAGCCGCCCCTGTGGATAATACTGATACTCCATGTGGGGAGGCGTCAATGGCGGCGCCATCTGGAATACTGGTGGGAGCCATGATGGGATCGCCAGGTCCGGCCGACGCATGTCCGTACACTTGACGGCGCGCGGCCGGTGGCAACCCTTCCGATGGAACACTGCTGTGTTGGCCACGCGACCGTCCGATGTGCTCCCGATGCCGGCGTGCTGTTGCACGGAGTGGGGGCGAACGGAAGGGGTTGGAAAAGGGTGGAGGAAGGGAACACTGCATACACGTCTCGACGTGTGCGTGTTATCCTTGCGCGCGAAGCACGAAGCACGCCCGCACACGGGCACCGTCTGGGGTGCCGCGGGTGCGGCGCCGGGGCGCCGGAGCGTCCGAAAGCGGGGCGCGATCAGACGTTGCCCGTGGAGCGGGAGATCATGCTCTCGAGGCTGGAAAGCGCAAGCTGGAGGTGGAAGCCAGGAGGAGGAGGAGGAGGGGGAGGAGGAGGAGGAGGTGGAGGAAGCCAGGAGGGGGAGGAGAGGAGGAGGAGGAGGAGGAGGAGGAGGAGGAGGAGGCGGAGGAGGAGGAGGAGAAGGAGGAGGAGGTGGCAGTGTTGGTGGCAGTGTTCTTTGATTCGTTCCGACTTAACTGACGACGGAAGCGGAGGCGCGAGAGGGGGCAGGCTTCGGGAGGGAGGACGGAGGGACAGGCGCAGAGCCGAGGGGGCGAGCAAGGGGAGCAGCAGCAGGCTGCGGGAGGGAGGGTGGGAGAGGACAGGGAGGGGGAGGAGGAGGAGGAGGAGGAGGAGGAGGAGGAGGAGGAGGAGGAGGAGGAGGAGGAGGAGGAGGAGGAGAAAGAGGAGGAGGAGGAGGAGAGGAGGAGGAGGAAGGAAAAAAGGAGGAGGAGGAGGAGGGAAAAAGAGGAGGAGGAGGAGGAGGAGGAGGAGGAGGAGGAGGAGGAGGAAAAAGACGACGCCGACGACGAGGAGGGAGAAGAGGGAGGATCTGGGAGGGGAGGCGCGAGGAGCGAGGAGCGCGCGGTGGTCCTTCAGGACGTCGGGCAGCAGGTGGCCCTCCAGGGACCGCTGGAGCCTGGGGTCGCTGGCGGCGGCGCAGCTCACCAGGTCCAGGACCTGGCCGCGGGGGGCGCGCGCGCGGGAGGCGCGGCGAGGCGGAGAGGGAGGGAGGGAGGGAGGGAGGGAGGGAGGGAGGGAGGGAGAGCGAGGGAGGACGGACGAGGAGAAGGATTCCGATCACACGTAATGATGCTGTCAGCGCGGGGGGTCCTGGCCTGGGCAGGCCGCTTCAGATCGCCGTCCGCACGGATCGGGGGAGCGAGCGCCTGGCTGTGGCAGCGAGCACCACTGGAGACGATGGCTCTCGCTACGGATTTCCGCATAGTCACTTCAACATGCGAGGAAGCGGCAAAACACACAATCCCCCGATATCCTCCGCACAATTGACAGTACAGGAGGCTTCGCAGCACAGACATCTCATTGGTGGAGTGGCATTGATCAGCCAGCAGGTGGTTCAGGGCACCCCCACACAGCCAAGGCGGCACCAGGTCATCGAGGGCAAGGTCAGGATCGCCGTTGCTCCACCTCGTACGCTGGGGGCGCAGCTGAATCCGCTGCTGGATGAGGCGCATCCGAAAGCTCGCCTTGGCTCGCCGACTCCACCTCGTTCCCCCAATGCACAGTTGGCAAACACTTTCAAACACGACTGGCGAAGTTATCTGCTCGCATCGTGGGGGAAGAGGAAGAGGACGAGGGGATGGCTGCGGAGAGAAGGGGGTGAAGGTGGGGCGGAGAGGGGCGGTAAGGAGGGGAACTGGGGAGGAGGGCGGGCGGAGGTAGGGCGGAGGACGAGGAGGATAGGCGGGATGAGGAGCAAGGGCCAAGGGGCAAGAGGAGGAGGTGGAGGAGGGGGAGGAGGGGAGATGGGGGAGGGAGAGGCACGCAGGGAAAAGGGGGGACGGGCGCCCCGCCCCCCCAAAAAACACGCTCTCATCTCCCTCTGCCCTGCGAGAGGGAGGAGGAGAAGGAGGAGGGAACTGGGGGAAGGAAGGCGCAGGGCGGACGCTGCCCTGAGGGCCCGGGGCCCGCGGCCTGCAGAGATGCGAGGCGCAGCCCTTGGGCCGATGTGACGTTGCAAGGGAAGGGAGGCGGCTCCTGGCCTTACATCGGGCGTGTCCCCCTACATGGGGATGCTCGACGAAAAATAAAGAGTACCCAACAAATCCGCCGACCCTGTCGGCGTGTGGAAGAGGTTTCTCCGTCTGTTCCCTCTTCGTCGTCGTCGTTTCTTCCCCTTTCCCCACAGCGTCGTTGCTTCTACCTCTCTCCCAGGGCCTCCTCCTGAAGCGTGCCAGTCCAAAGCGAAATTGAGCAACGTCGTAATTGAGTCGAAGGGAAGCCCCTTCCCTTTGATCCCTTCCCCGCCCGGGGGGGGGCGGTCACGGGGGGGGGTCCCGGGTTTTTACGCCGCCCCCCCTGGGAATCCCGGAGCCGAAAAAAGCCCCAAGACGGGCCAAGAGTGCCCCAAGAGGCCCCCAAGACGATCCAAGAGGGCCCCGAATCGCCGAATGATCTGTCCAAGACGCCTTCACGGCCTACAGACGGCCCAAAAGGCCTGCGAGACGCCCCAAGAGGCTTCCAGGACCGTTCCCACGAGAGCCCCAAGAGGCAAAAATCATGGATTTCCCATACGTTTTTCAAGAATTTTGGCGTTCTCGCCTCTTCCGCTTCCCCACGCGCCAAGACGGCCCAAGAGGCCCCCAAGGTCGCCCCGAGACGGCCCAAGAGGCCTCCAAGAGAGTCCCCAAACGGCCCAAGAGTGCCCCAAGACGGCCCAAGACGCCTCCAAGACGGCACAAGAGGCCCCCAAGACGGTTCCAAAAGAGTGCCCAGACGGGGGACCCGAACGGACATTTCGAGCCCTCAGCCCCGAGAAGCCTCCAAGAGGCCCCCAGGAAGCCCAAAGAGGCCCCAAGAGGCTCCCAAGAGGCCCCCAAACATCCCCGCAGAGGCCCCCTAGAGCGCTCGGAAGAAACCCCAAGAAGCACGTTTGAGGACTCAACCCACGTCAGCATCGTCGTCGTCGCTACCGCCGCCGCCGCCGTCGTCGTTCCCCTTCAGGGTCGGCGGCACCGGCCGTAAGGCCTCCGCAATACTCCACAATGGACAAAAAATTCTCCAAAAACAGGCCCCAGACTATTTCTTGACTGTTTTTTGAACATTCCCCCCCGTAGAGGGACGGACCCGACCTAACCCTGGGCCGATGTGACGTTGAAGGGGAGGGGTGCGGCTCCGGGCCCCGTCCACGGGGCCACCTCGGGATGCCCACGCGCGGCGCGCGTGGCCCGAGCGCTCGCCCCGCGCCGGGGGCGAGCGACGCGGGCAGGCGACTCCTCGCGCGGGGCGGAGAAAGGGAGCGGGGGAGGGGGACAACCCTGACCTTCCAGGAGGGCTAAAAGATAGCACCCGACCTGAAAACATATCCTAGAGCTATCCTACGTCTTGGTTTTAGGCAGTTTCGCTCGGTTTTTTACGGTGTTAGGTCTCCAGTGCCAAAAAACAGCTCTCTGGAAAATCAGGGAAGGGATCGGAGGGGGAGGGGGGCACGAGGCCGCTGGCCGTCGTGTCGTGGTTGTCCGTGGCAACCACCTCTTGCCTGCCGCCGCCCGCGGAGCGCGGCGCCTGGCGCTGCGCGCGTGGACACCGCAGACGTGCGTCTCGGGGGCTGCCGGAAGAGGAGGAGAACACGTCGCCGATGGGGCGTCCGTCTGGTTGCTAGCCTTAGGTCGGGCATGTCCTCCAACAGGCGGGCTGTGTAAGAAAGATGGGGAATCGTCAAACATGCTCGGGCATCGTTTGAAATCACTCTCTTTCTCTTTCTCTGTCTCTTTCTCCTTCTCTTTTTTTGTTTCTCTCTCTCTCTCTCTTTCTCTCTGTGTCTCTCTCTTTCTCTCCTCTCTCTTTAAAATACTTCAGAATTCGCCCCCCCCGATTGTTTTGCTAATCTCTTTGAACATTCCTCCTGTCGTCGACTTACATGCCCGACTTATGGCTGGCTGCGGCGCGGCCCCACTCCGCCCGCGAGGCCCGGCGCCAGCCTCAACGCGCGGCGGGCGGCACCGACGGCAACGCGCTGCCTGCTGCAGGGGATCGGGAGGGAGCCGTCCTCCGTGCTGCGGTACACTCGAGGCGTTGACCTAAGGAACCCTAGATAATAGGGAGCCCACAGAGGACGTACGCGCCCAGCTATGTACATGAACACGGCCCCTCGATCCGCGAGACCGGCCGCGTTATACGAACATTTGCGCAATGCGAACTCTCGAAACCAGCGTGGATTCATGTACATGTACGTCCTTTTTCCGCTCCTGAGATAAGGCACGAGGCCCCTGTTTTCCCATAAGTGCAACCTCGATCTCCCCCATGGACAACCGCAGGACCCCCCGAGGCAAACTCTGAAACAACCCAGGAGCACCGAGCCCCTCCCCAACGAAAAGGGTTCCCTCCTCAGCGCCCCGACGGTAGACGCGGGCGGCCGCGGACATCCCGGCAGCCGCGCGTGGGACCCCGCTCCCGCCGCAGCGCCTGGAGTCGAGCGCCAGGTCGGACCTGTCCTCCTACAGGCGGGCCTTGGAAGAAAGAAGACGAAGTTGTCCAACCATGCTCATAAAATCGTCAGAAACAACACCATCAAAACATCGTCCCCGCGCAAGTTGTTGACCACGTTTGAAAGAGGCCATGGGACACACACACACACACACAAACACACAAAAATAAATACACACAAATAACAGGATTCCCCACATGTTCCTATATTTTGCGTTTTTTTTGTCTTCCCCCCCACTTCCCAAATATTTTCCCATCCTTTCCTGGGAGTCGACGATTAAGTGTGTCTGTGTGTCGGTATCCCTCCTGCATTTTTGCGCGCTCCTCCTGTGGAGGGGGCACGCGCGACTTCGAGCGAGCGGGGGAAGACCGAAGCGGGCCGAGAGCGCCTGCCACCACCCAGCTGGCCGCGCGGCAGGCTCAGCCTCGGCGCCGCAGCGCCCCGCGCGCTGCAGGTCGCGCTGCACCCGGTCGGCGCCCTCGCCCGCGCCGCCGCCGAGGTCGCGGCGGCGCGGCGCGAGCAGGACGCGCATGCTGCACGACGGGGGGCACGAAGGATGGCGCGAACAGAACGACCCAGAGGTCCGCGCGGATCATCCGCGCGGACCTCTGGGTTGTTCTGGATGTCCGGGACATTGGGTGGATGGGTGGGTGGGTGGGTTGGAGACCACATAAATCGCGTTATGTGTTCGGGGAAAAAAGCTTGAACTCCAGAGCCCTCCTCCCCCCCCCCAGCAAGGCCAAGACCTGGAAACGCCACGGACCAGAGGTCCGCGCGGATCATCCGCGCGGTCCGCGCGGAGACATCCGGGATGTCTCGGATCCGCGCTGGACCCCCCTGGCGGCGCCTCCGACGCCGCCTCAGGCGCGCTCCGCGCGCCAAGGAGAAGAGTCCAGCGCGGACCCAAGGAATCCGAGCGCACTTCCGAGTTGTTCTGTTTATGTAATTCTTCGTTCCCCTTGATGGATGTTGTACGACGTGGCCAACGCGCCCGCCTGCAACTTGCTAGCCGACCACGCCCGAGCAGGGGGTAGTTAGAGTGGCCAGGTGCTCGTGGGGCCGCTTCCAGCGCGCACGTGTCGGTTTTGTGGAACGCGGTCGAGCTGGAGGCTGTCGATCGTCTGGAGACGTATATATCGTCGGTCGGGTGCTTTCCCCTGATGTCCTGGCAGGAGAGCCCAGAATCAAATCGATGAGTCGGATCGGCGATCGAAATAAGTCAAATCGGCGGACATCGGCAGCCGAGTCGGGAGAAGTCGAATCGACAGAAATCGGCAGGCTAGTAGGCCTCCATTGAGAAATCTGAATCCAAATCGGAATATCAAATCGAATCGAATCGGAATGGGAAGCCATCGAAATCGAATCGAATCGGAGGAGTCGAAATGAGCCCTGTCCTGGTCGGGGGCCGGCGTCGAACTCCTCGAGCAGTATGTCGAAAGCGTCCGCGCTGACCCAACTGGCGGCGGGCTCGGTGGACGACGGTCTCGTCCAAGCGTGCAACCGTGCCTGTTGACGCGGCCCCTCTCGCCCATGGGCGTCGGGCGCGTGGGTCGACGTTCCAGGAAGGCACGACCAGAAGCGGTGGTCTCCCAGGCCTGGCGGCGCATCTCGGCAGCGACCATTCGGCGTTCACAGGCAACCGCGTCCGTGTTCGAACGCGGGCAATGAGCATCTTGAGCCAACATGGCTGAGGACAGGGGTATGGTCGTGCTGATGTGGTTGGGTCTCCTGTCTTGTGCTCGGGTCGGCCATCCTCTAAGCATTCAGGTTTGTTGTGGGGCGGGAGTGCACAACCTGCCTGGGACCATTTCGCAGCGGAGGCGGTTGGGGCCTCGGCTCTTTCCTCCGCGGGGGCTTCGGCTCCGGCTGGGGCTGCGGTGTCAGTCGCGGGTCCCGGGGGGCAGACCGGCGACTCGTCTGGCCAACGCGCGTCGGTGATTGTGCCAAGCGTGGCAGGTGTTGTGGCGAGAGTTTATTAAGATGGCCCTACGTTTCCTTCAGGTGAAACTCGGTGTCCGGGAGGTGCTTTGCGGATTCGTGTTCCTTCAGGGGATCTGGCAAAAGTAGGCAGAACAGTGTTTATGTGATTCGCCCGGCGACGCCAGAGTTTGGTTCTGGGCCTCATTGTCTTGTGCTTGGGTGGCACCTAGGGGGTCGGTTTGCCTTAATGCACCAAGTCGGCGCCCGGCGCCACCGCTGGTGCGGCCACCTCCTTGGCGCCACTTTGCATTGGTCTCGTGTTCCATGGTGGCGTTGCAGAGTGATGCCAAATGTAATGTGGGTGTTTGGGGGAGGGGGAGGGATTGCACATGTTCGATGGTATCCACATTGTTTGGGGTCTTCGGGGGGCTGCACCCTTTGAGCCGAGCGGCGATCCTACGTGACGTCGCGGGGGCGGCAGACGGTTCTACTGTTCCGTCATATGCCAGACCTGCGCCTACTGACGCAGGTCACGCCGCCCCCACGCCCTAGCAGCCGGGGCACTGTTCGTTGTCTCGGGAGATGTGGCTTTCGTGGGGTGGTTTGCTCCCCCTTTTTCCCCTCCCTCATTCCTCCCTGTCCCACAACCATATGTGTTTCTGGTCTGGTGCCTGCGTGTCCAAAAAGATTAGTTTCTGGCCCCTGTGCACAGTTGACACGCCAACATCGTGAAGTGTGCTCCTCGGTGGTGGTGGGGTTGGTTTTGTGTTTCGTTGTCGGGGTGTTCGTGGCTGTGATGTGTATGTGCCCAGGTCGATTTTCGCCTCCGACTAGATTCCAGGTCGCACGCGGGTTCATCCTGGAGGCCCGGGAGTCGTACGCGGCTTTCCACCCGGAGGCGGAGGCGGAGGCGGAGGCGGAGGGGGTGGAGGAGGAGCGAAGCGTACGCCAAGGAGGAGGAGGAGGAGGAGGAGGAGGCGGAGGAGGCGGAGGAGGGTCGAGCCTGGTGGCATGGGGGAGGGGGGCCCCGGCCGCCTGCAGGTGCACCAGCGGGTCCGACGAGCTGCGCCGCCAGATGTCCAGGATCAGGGGCGCGAAGGCGGCCTCCCGCGGGCAGCGAGAGGCTCATGGGGAGGCTCGAGGGTCGAGGCTAATGAGTCGGGCGCGTCCCCCTACAAGGGGATTTTGGACGACAAGTAAAAACAAGTACTCCCAAGATGCCCCAGAATGCTAAACAAAAATAGTCCCCAGACTATTGTTCGACTATTTCGGAATATTCCTCCTGTAGAGGGACAGGCCCGACTTGAGTCGAGGCGCGCGATGTGCCCGTAGGCTTCTGCATGGTGGCCGCTACCGTGCCGGATGCCGGCCAACCGGTACCAGCTCGTACCGTGCCGCGCCAGCCGGACCGACCTCTGGAGGCGCAAGAACTATACCCAAGAAGTTGTGGCAGCTCCTGAGCCTGCTAAGGAGCCTCCGGCGACATCCCTCCTCCCTCCTCCCGCCTCCCTCCTCCCTCCTCCTCCTCCTCCTCCTCCTCCTCCTCCTCCTCCTCCTCCTCCTCCTCCTCCTCCTCCTCCTCCTCCTCCTCCTCCTCCTCCTCCTCCTCCTCCTCCTCCCTGACGGAGGCCTACGGGAACCTCCCAGAACCTCCAGAGTGGTGCAAGGGCACAAGGGGGGAAGAGGCGGGGGGAGGGAGGAGGGCGGCAACCGAGGGGAAGGACATGAGCGCCGCGGGTGCAGCAGGTGTGGCCCGCGCCGGGCACGAGCGCCAGGTCGGAGCGACGGGGACCCGGCGCCGATCCTGAGATGCTGCCAGCGCTGCCACGGGAGCCCTGCTTTCTCGGGTCCGAGTGCTGCCTGAGAGAGTTCAACAAAAACACGCGGAGAGCCACTGTTGGAATGACTTGCGTGTGAGAAGCAACGGGAGGGCGCCCCTGCACAAGACAACACTTCGGGGACGCGCGAACCCGGGTCGGCACAGACCCGGGTCGGCCAGGGCCCTGTCGCGAAACCTGGCCGGCAGTTTAGTAGCTCCCACACCTGGGTCACAGCGGACGGCGGGATCGGGAAATCGGCCCCAAGTGGCTCCCAAACCCAGGCCGGCCAGAGGGGATTGGCTGACCCCGTGAGCGCTGACGCCCGCTACGTGAACCCTGGGCAGTTCATATCTTGTGTCGGCGCCGAGCGAGGGGGGAAAGTGAGAAGGGGCGGGCCTTCTCAGAAGGCCCGAAGGTCCCCCGGCCTTCCGAGCAGTTCTCCAGACCTTCCCCGAAAAACAAACAACACCTCCTCAGAAGGCGCGAGGGCTTCCGAGAAGCCCCGCCGCCCACTGAGAAGCTTAGTGGTTCTTAAAAACGACCAGGGCGTTGTTTTTAGTTTGCAGCTTTCGTCTCAAAACTCGTTTTTCATAGTTTTGCGCTCCCGTTTGTTATCGTTTGCAGGTGTCCGCCACAACTCGTTTTTTGTTTTCAACGTCAACTTGCGGAGCCGTTTTTTTTATAGTTTGCAGGCTCGTTTTTGTTTTATCGTTTTCAACTCTGCCTCGCAACGCTGCGGTTGCATGGGCTCAGTGAGAAGGCCTTCTCCTTCTCGCTTCCCCCCCTCGCTCGCCGCCGACTGTGGGGGACAGTGGAGCGGCGGGGCGGGAGAGCGGAGGGAGGCGGAGGGGAGGCGGGCGGGTCGTCGGCGGGCCGTGGCCGCGCGCCGCGCCCGCGGAGGGGAGCGAGCACGGAGCCGTGCTCCCCAGGCCGACGGGGAGCAGGCCGTCGCTGGCGGCTCGGGCGAGGCTCCATCGGGGGGGCGAAGGCAAGCAGCACGCCGAGAACCACATCTTACCAGCCTGGAACATATCCCTATCCCTATGCTGGGCACCTCCTCATCACGATGCCAATCTTAGGGATTTCCTTATGTTTTGAAGGCGAATCCCTAAGATTGTCATCGCCTTTTGGCGTGTCAATCTTAGGGATAGGGATACGTTCGAGGCTGGTAAACATCACGTGCTCGGCGCGTCGGCATCGGTGGACCTGGAAGTCCAAAGGCGTTATGCTTCCAGTGCGGGGCCACGCTCCTCGCGCAGGCGGCCCTTCTGGCGTGAAGGCATAAGGGTGCGTGGTCGCCGCCTATGGCCCAAGCGCCCTGGCCAGTGCGCCTTTATCGTGGGCGCCTCGGGGGGAGGGCAATGCGGGATGACGATTAATAAAAAAAAATCGGAGAGAACGATTAAAACAACAGTTTTCTGTTATTTCTGCATACTTTTCTGACTGGAGGAGAACGATTAAAAAATAGTTCTCCAGTCCGCGGCCAGTTTTTTCTAATCGTCATCCCGGGCGCCGCCGCGTGAACACGACCCCCGGTCATTTATTAATCGTCATCCTCCATTAGGGTGAAGGTGCATCTGTCGTGCCCCTTTGGGGCCCCAGGGGGTCCCCTTGCGGGCCCCCTCAATGGCACAAAAGGTGCACCGTTCGTCGGCACCGTCTGATCGCCCCCCCAGCGCTGGCTGCTTGTCCAAAGCAGTGTGGGCGGACATCGGGGCGGTCCGGGGGACGAGTTGCAGAGCAGGTCACAAGGCAGGTCGCAGAGAACTGCAAGAGGAGCAACAGCGAGAGCCCGAACCGCGGACACCCACTTCGGCCCCGCACCTAGGAACAGGTGTAGGACTGCGCGGCGACCTCACTCTGATGTGTGGATGCACGGGGAAAGAGAGAAAGAGAGAAAGAGAGAGAGAGATGAACAAAACAAAAGAGAGACAAACACGATATGTGTGATATACCTAGAAGAATGCATGTGAAAGAGAGAGATGCGACAGAGAGAACAGAGGAAGAGAGGAATAGAGCGAGGATAGAGAGAGAGGTAATTATAGAAAGAGTGCGAGTGCGAGTGAGAGTGAGAGAGAGAGGAAAGCACGCGCACATAGCTATATCGGAGGTTGCGGGGTGAGATCGAAATGGAACGGAGGGCCCCCCACCGGGAAATCGGTTTCGGTTTCGTGTTCGTGCGTGCCGTGCGTGCGGGCGAGAGGAAAATCTCCTGTGGCTGAGGCGCGGCCGGACCAAATGATTCTCCCTCCGGCAAGCGGTGACCCGCGGTGTCCCGCCGGTGTCCCGCTTGTGGCTGGGTCCTGGCTGGACCAAATGATTCTCCCTCTGGCAAGCGGTGGCCCGCGGTGTCCCGCCGGTGTCCTGGTGTCCCGCTGTTGCGAAAACGATAGTGAGACCGATGACAAAATCGATTGTGAGATCGATAATGAGATCGATAGTGAGACCAATAGTGAGACCGATCGTGAGATCGATAGTGAGATCGATAGTGAGATGAATAGTGGTATCGATTGTGAGATCGAGTGATACCGATAGGGAGATCGATCGTGGGATCGATAGCGAGATCAAGAGTGAGATCGACTGTGAAATCGATCGAGTGAGATCGATAGTGAGATCGATCGAGTGAGATCGATAGTAGGATCGATGGTCCCAAGAGCGAGCGGCAACGTGACAATCACCACTGTTGCCCACTGCTGGCCCCCCTCCCCCCCCAACCTCCTTATCACCCGCAGGGTGGTCGTATAGGCACATGTAAAAGGATACAAGTCAGAACGAAGCAGATGAATACATACACAAATAAAGACAAAGAAAAAACTCAGAGAGAGCTGGGACAGAAAGCTGAGAGCGAGAGGGCGGGAACGGAGGGCACCGGCTGCCGTCGCCACTGCCAACGTCGCACCACCGCTGTCGAATGAGCCTTGGAGATGGGTAGGCCTCCTCTGGAGAAACCTCTCCCAAAGCCTCTACGCCCAAAACCTCTCCCGGGATGCCTTCTGACTGGATGTTGGAGGCGAGGCCAACGGTGGCGACGAGGGCCTCCCACGAGGCCCACGAAAGCGGAAACGAGGGGAGGGGTGCCGGTATCTGTACTTTCGGGGGCGCGCAAACATGGATTAGCGATCCAATTTGGCGCGCGGTCGCCACACCCATGGATCTGGGGAGGTGCCCTCCCCTCAGTGCGGCCGGCGCCGCCTCGCTCGGCGGCAGAAATCCGCGACTTCCCAGGCAACGGGACCCGTCGCTGATCCACGACCCCTTTAATCCATGTTTGCGATCGCCTGAACTTCCTTCTCCTCTCGGGCAAGGCAAAAGGCGGGGATAGCAAAGGGGGGGGTTGAGAATCGGCTCACGTAGCTGATTTTCCTGGCGCCTCCCGGCGCCAGAGGTGGCTATGCATCGAGGAATGGGCCCCTCGATGGGGCCGAAACCAGCTGCATGCAGAAGATTTCGTAACCCCCCCTTTTCGGCGGTGGACAACCCTCCCTTTAGTAGACCTCTCCTCAGTGAAAACGGCCTGGGACCGAAACCGACGGACCTGGACCCGCAAAAATGACGGCCGCGACGCCCTCTCGCGAACCGAAAAACGGCCAATTCCTTAATCGACGTGTCAAGGTAGGAGGTCTGTCCACGCCCCCCTTTCCCCACCCCTTTCGTCCGGCCCGATCCTCTGAGCCTCCCCCCCCCCATCCTGCCAGATCCGTGGATCCTGGGCCAGGGCCCAGGAGAGGCTTTTGGCGCTCTGGCCGCCGGGCGGGCGGGCAACGCGGTCGCCGCGGGCCAGCGTGATCCGCGTGCACGAATTGATGGGAATTGAGGCGCGCCTCCCCTTCGTCGCGCCAGCCCTCCCCCTTCCCCGCCCCCCCTCTCCATCCTCCTCCTCCTCCTCCTCTTCTTCTTACTCCTCCTCCTCCTCCTCCTCCTCCTCCTCCTCCTCCTCCTCCTCCTCCTCCTCCTCCTCCGCCTCCTCCTCTCCTCCCTCCTCCTCCTCCTCCTCCTCTCCTCCCGTCCTCCTCCCTCCTCCTCCTCCTCCTCCTCCTCCTCCTCCTATTTCTCCTCCTCCTCCTCCTCCTCCTCCTCCTCCTTCTCCTCCTCCTCCTCCTCCTCCTCCCTCTCCTCCCTCTCTCCTCTCCTCCTCTCCTCCCTCTCCTCCCTCTCCTCCCTCTCCTTCCTCTCCTCCCTCTCCTCCCTCTCCTCCTCGCCCCCTCCTCCTCCTCCTCCTCCTCCTCCTCCTCCTCCTCCTCCTCCTCCTCCTCTCTCCTCCTCTCCTCCTCCTCCTCCTCCTCC